TCCTTAAAGAAAGAGAGGCTTAAAGTCAGCTTGTGAGAAAGACATCAGGTTCAGGAAAGAAATGACAAGGGTGTCGTTACAGTTTGGATTGTGTGCCTTAAAAGTATGTATTGCAGCATATTCCTACAGCTGGGATTATAATCTGGTTTGGGAATGGACTTTCTTTACTAATTTAATATGGCATGTTTTCAAACAATCTCTTTTGAGATATAAGTGGGATTAAACATACATGTGAGCATGAAGTGATGGAGGAAAGGAGATCCCGAGTTACGTGAAGATCACGCAGACGCTCAGAAGAGACAAAGACCTTTCAGAGATGGCAGAAACAGAGACTTCCCTTGGAAACTGTGCCCTAAATTCAGACTTCTAGCCTTCTTACTAGAAGAAAACAAAAACAAAAATCAAGATAATAAAAATCCTTGCCCATAGACTGATAGGGAACATCGGATGGATGGAGAAAGGATTGAGACTGTCAATGATTTCCTCCGACTTGGATCCACAATCACTACCTTTGGTTCCAGCTGTCAGGAAGCCAAGAGGCAAATTGTGCTGGGAAAGTCTGTAGTCAGAGGCTTCCCTAAACCATCGAGGCCTAATGAGGTCAGTTTGAGGAATCATGGGTGCCTGATTCAGACCCTGATCTTTTCAGTCACTTTGTAAACATCTGAAAGCTGGACAGTGACTAAGGGTGACAGAGATGAATTGATGCCTTTGGTGGTGTTTGTGGTATTGGAGGAGAATCCTGATTATCCCGTGAACTGCAAAGAGAACTAGCAGATATGTTTTGGAGATGATGTAGCTAGAGAGCTCTTTGAAGGGCAACATTATGAAGCTTCATGGCACATACTTTGCGCATGTTGCTAGGAGAAGCTATTTTTTGGAGAGAGACACCATGCTTGTAAAGGTGGAGACGCAGCGAAAGAAAGGAAGACACTCAGTGAGGTGTGTTGACACAGTGACTGCAAGTGGTGGGTTTGACTGTGTCAGGGATTGTGGTGATGACACAGGATAGTGCAACAGTCAGATCTGTTGTTGATAGTGTCGCTATGAGTTGTACTCAACTTGCTGGTACCTTACAACAACAGCCTTATTACGTAAGAGAAAATAAAGCTGTATTTGTTAAGGTCGCCTGCTTGTGATACTTCTGTTATAGCAGCTCTGGGTAACTAAGTCAGCTGTAGATAATAAGCATGTGGACAGCGCTTTATCATGCTCTGCAGTCTTCCAAATTAGAAAAATGAATGTAAATTTGGAATTTCTTATTAATTTTGTATGGTGGATATAAAATTACTTTCTTTTTCACTGTGTTATGTGAACAGCTTGTGATAGTTGCTTATAAAGGAAGTTTTAGAAGCAGTACTGCTGAAGTTTTAGAAACAGTACTGCTAAAATGTCACGTAAAACTTTTACAGAATATCTTATCTGGAGCAGATGAAATGATGACCATAATGTGTCCTTGAAACAAAGTCATCAGACTTCTCATTTTTATTCTATTATTAAAAAAGGAGTTTTATAATTATTATATCCCAGTATCGAGTCTCTTAATGTTTTTATAGACTCTCACAATATTTTTCCTTATTTATTTGATATTTAATAATAATGATATATTAACTTTCTGTTATTAATATTTTTTCATCTATTCATACTAAGAACAAATTTCAAATTATCAAGAATATTAAAAATCAAAAGAATCTTACACTTCAGAGCACAAAAATAAGGTGGCTTATTAGATGAAGTACACATAGATGTTTAACTGGACAAGGGTACAAAACTGAGAATCCCACAGTGGAGATGCGAACTTTCACTATAAAAGCTCTTAAGTTCTCTGTAAGCTTGAAACATTTTCTTAAAACTTTAGAAAGAAAGAACAAAAAACTCAAGAAAGTGACCACCACAAATTTAAGTAAATAAATAAAAGAAAGCTACTCCATTTAATGGGGGGAAAATTATGTAGTTTGGTAGTATTATTGTTAGGTGCCATTGAGTCAAGAAAGACTCATAGCAACTCTTATTAATGACAGATCTGAGCTCTGGCTGAAAGCAGAGAATACCAGAAGAATGTCTCTCTGTGCTTCATTGACTATGCAAAGGCTTTTGACTGTGTGGATCACAACAAGCTGTGGCTGACTCTGAAAAGAATGGGAATCCCAGAACATTTGATTATGCTAATGCGAAACCTATACTTGGACCAAGAGGCAGTCGTCAGAACAGAGCAAGGAGACACTACATGGTTCAAAATCAAGAAGGGGGTCAGTCAGGAATGTATTCTGTCTCCATACCTTTTCAATCTGTATGCAGAACAGATCATCCGAGACTCTGGGCTGTACGACGAGGGACATGGCATCAGGATTGGTGGAAGAGTCATCAACAGCCTGCATTATGCAGATGACACAACCCTACTTGCTGAAACTGAGGAGGACCTGAAGCGCTTGCTGCAGAATGTCAAGGACTGAAGCCTCCTATATGGACTGAAGCTCAACATCAAGAAAACAAAGATTCTCACCACTAGGCCAATTGGCAGCATCAGTATGGATGGTGAAGAGATTGAGATCGTTAACAGTTTTAGTTTACTTGCTCCACAATCAACACTCTTGGTAACAGCAGCCAGGAAATCAAGAGAATTGCATTGGGAAAGTCAGTTGTGAGGGACCTCTCAAGAGTACTGAAGAGCAATGACACAAAACAGGAGACTAAGGTGAGCCTGATCTTGGCTATAGTCTTCACAATTACGTGCTATGCATCAGACAGTTGGACAGTGAATTATAGAAATAATAGATAAGAATAGATAAATAATAAATAATAGAAAGAGAATTGATGCCTTTGAGCTGTTGTGCTGGAGATGAGTGTTGAATATACCATGGACTGCTAGGAGAACAAACAAGTTTGTCCTGCAGAAGGTGAAGCCGGAATGCTCCTTGGAGTCCAGGATTCTGAAGCTTCGTCTGAAGTACTTTGGGCATGTTGCAAGGAGGGACTGGTCCTTGGAGAGGGACATCATGTTTGGCAGAGTGGAGGGACGGCGAAGGAGAGGAAGACCTTCGATGAGATGGATTGATTCTGTGACTGGAGCAGTGGGAATAACTGTGTTTGAGATGGCGAGGTTGGTACAGGATAGAACAGCATTTAGGGCTCTTGTACATAGGGTCTCTATGAGTCACAAGCGACTCGATGGCACATAACAACAACAACAACAGCTGTGCTAATGAATCGGAACTGACCCAAAGCTGGATCAACTCACTCCAGCTGATTTTCAGAGGCAGTAAATCACCCCGGAGGAGGCTGGCCATCCTTCTCCTGTGGAGCACCTGGAGGATTTGACCCACATGACTTTGGAATTGCTGGGTACCGTTTTACCATTAGGCCACCCCTACTGGCATTTCCCTTTCTATCCAAGGCTTCACATAATGCTTGGCTCTTTCTCCAAGGACTTTCCCAAAACTGTGCATTCTGGAAGATGGTGTCTCCAAAAATTTCACCACTTCTAAGTAGTCCTGAATCTCTGAAATCCCAGACAAGTTGATATTGATCCTTTGTGAGAACAAAAGAAAAAGTTATATACAAAGGAAATGTATCTGCCAAGTTCCTTTAGAAACAGGGTCAAATAACCAGTTGGAGAGTGTTCTAAAGGTATCATTAAACTTTAATAATACCTACATTTTTATGGGGCTTTTAACTTTGCAAATTGCTTTCACATGCATTATCTCATTTCATGTTCTGCTGCATTGAAACAGTATCTTAAGTTTTAAGGCTGAATTACAGTGGCATAGAGAGCAAAACATTGACAGGACAGTTAATTGATTAGAGGCAGCCAGAAAGCCTATGCTATTAAAATTCTGATGTACATGTAATTGTTTATAATTAACAAAATGGCGCTACATGTGACTTGGTAAGTCACACCAAAGCTTTATGATGAGGAGGAGGAGGACTATGCTATTACTATATTAAACATATTTTAATGATGTAGAGTACTTCTTTAATATTTTTATGTTTAAAAATACCTTAGCATGCACTATACACTGAAAATAACTTCTGTTAGAAACTCTCTTTAGTTGTTTTGATTTACATACTTGATTAAGAATGCTCAGTGGCTGAGTAGTAAAGAGCCACACTGCCAACCCAAAGGCAGGCAGTTCGAATCTACCAGCAGCTCCAAGGGAGGAAATGGACAATCTTTTCCACACAATTTATAGGGTCTGAAAATCCTCTGAAGGGATAGCTAGGAGTCCATTCGAACTCAATGGCATTTAACCACACAATTTGACTAAAGGCAGATTTAGAAATGGAATTTGTTTCTAATCCAGGGAGTGTTTGATATTTACTAGGAGTTGACTGGTTCCCAAAATCAGGCATTATAAGGTTTAATACATACACACTTTGGAGTCCTGGGGAAAAGGTATCTTTCTTGCTTAGGAAAGTAGAAGGTTAGCAGAAACGAAGATCTTCAACAGGATGAGTTGACAGTGACCTCCACACGGGGCTTGAGCGTGGCATAGATTTTGAGGATGATTCAGGCTTTGGCAGGGTTTTAATCTGTTGCCCATGAGGTCTCTATTAGTCAGTGCTGACTCAGTGGCACCCACACAGCAGCACAACATTCTAATGGAACCCCAGGTGACACAAACAATTTAACAGGCTTGGCTGACAAGCAAAACGTGGGAAGTTCAAATCTACCTAGAGGTGCCTCAGAAGCTGTGGAAGAGGCCGCAGGGGCACTCACCGCTGCTGACCCAAGAGCAGCGTCTCTCAGGCAGTGAGGACCCATGAGGGACTCCATGAAGATAGACGGGCAGTCTCCTCCTGTGTGATTTATACCCTCCGAACCCCAGCTAGAGGGTAGAGCATCTGCTGGAGGTTGGTTCAGACTCAGTGGCTTTGAGAGAAAGACAGAAAGAGACACTATCAGAGTAATTTATTTATTTTTTTTTTTAGGAGACTATGACTTCTTTCCTTCTCTTTCCCATCCCTCTGATTTTTCATTTTTCTTTCTGGTAAACCTGCAGGTCAGTCCAACCCCGGGGTGCATCCGTGCTCTTATGAAGATGCTGTATTGCCCATACTGCCGCGGCCTTCCCTCAGTGAGACCGTGCAACAACTACTGTCTCAACGTCATGAAGGGCTGCCTGGCCAACCAGGCCGATCTGGACACCGAGTGGAACCTGTTTATAGGTAAGACCTTGAAGCGGATCTTAATGTGGAGACAGAGATTCTGGAGCAGCCAGTGTTCACGACGTCCCATGAGAGGTCTAAGGTTAGGGCCAAGCGTTTTTAGCATGTTACATACATTATTTGGCTTTGTATATTCTGAAGAATAAGCTTTTCTTGTCTATTATAAGAGATAGTCCTGTTAAAGGGTGGCAAAGCCAGTCGTATCGAATTAGCCAATCTGAGCTGAAGATAACAGCGTGCCTGTTGAATTTCTCTAAGTTCCTGTGAGAAATTAGCAAAGAAACCAGGGAACTGCTTTTTGTCCCCGTTTTCTATATCTCATAGTCACAGATCTTTGTAAACAGCTTTCTTCTTAAATGGATTGGATGAAATGACGTTTTTGCTAAAGGACTCATTTTCATTTTCTCATTTTGTGGGGAAGGGGCTTCAAGCTAAGACCGTGAATGTCCTTTAAACCATTGGGAGAAGAAGGCGGGACAAAGGCAGAGAGAGGCCTGTGAGTCTCGGCTCTGCTGTTGAATTGTACAAATCATGTAAGGGGGTTGTGTATTTCCCAAATAGCTATCCAAGGATAAAAGGACAAACCTTCTAGACAGGCTTCTCCCAGGAAAATACACAGGCCTTGAAAGAGTAAATGTGTTTCTTTTCCTTCTGTCAAATGGCCTTCAAATAAAAGTACTTTCAATTGCATTTGCCGCAATTACACGGTGACAAGCAGAGTGGTGGAAATAGCGGTGGTATCCGTCAGCCTCAGAGGGCCTTCGTCCTTTATGCAAACCTCTGAGACAGAACACGCAAGTACAGACTTCTAAACGTCTAAGATTTGAGTGGAGGAGGAAAAGGATTCAGAGTGCTTTAGAATTTAGAGAGCGCTTAGCCCACTGTGCGTGTATGTGCTTAGATTTCAGGCATTGAACTTGGCAAAGCAAACCATCAGTTAACACACTATAATGATTAGGAAAGCCAGAGAGAATGATTTTGAAGTTTTGAAAACCAATTTTCAACTGAGTAGACTAAAATTGTAGTCATCTAACAAAATCTCAGAAAACATGTAAGTGAGAATAAACATAAATGCTTTTCCTCTCCTTTCCGTGGGACAAAAGCATCTCTTTGTCTGAGCTTGGCTTCCTGGGTTTGCCACTTTACGCCTTGTTTATCTCTTGTCAGTAAAACTAAAAATTAAATCAGTTAAAGTACTTTTAGCTCAGAGCTAGTGGGATTCTTTGCTAAGTCTTTTTAGTTTTGCTGTGATATTTTTAAAAGTGTAGATTTGCTATGATTTTATGATTTTTTAAAGTGTAGATATTTTTTCCATAATGAAAATGGGGAGTAAATTGGATCATATAAAGCATCAGAAATATTTAGGTTCATTTTGGCAGACATTTCACTAAAATAGTGGTAACAAAGTATCTTCTTCAGGAAATATAAGAAAAAAAATAAAAATAGCAGTTTTAACCAGATGGAAACTCCTGGCACCCCACTGGAATTGATAGAGCATGTCTAGATTTTTGGCTAAGATTGCCTGATTCATAGCACAGTTAAATTCTGTCCTTGGCCATCCTGCGACTTATTGATTAAAACAGACATGTGGGTTTCATTGTACAGAGTGAGAGACATGATTAAGAATAAGTGTGTAGGCTGTGTGATTTGTAAGAACAGGAGTGGCTTTATCGGTGACCCCCACACCCTGTCCCTTTGAGTGTTCCTTCGCTTTTCTAATGTTCAAGAAAGTTTTATACTTTCAATCAACTTTGTTTCCCAGATGCCAGTTTGATGTGAACCAAAATGTCTAGGAAATAATTTTATTTGAAAACTAAAATTTGAACCCATGAAGTTGAGTGGACTTCAATGAGAAATGTCTACTGAATAGTTTTTACTTGACTGTCTTTCCATACTCCTTTTTCATTATCTCATTGTTTTGTTTTTTTTTAATTTGTCTGTAAAGTCTTATAAAGTCTTTTTTTAAAAGTATTACAGATACCTGAGGAAATTCTTCCTGTTTATTCTGGACCACCAACCTAGACTTATTTAGCCAAATGTATTCATGCTAATGCTTGACCATAGTGGAAGTGCTGGTAATTTATGACTTAATTTAGTCAAATGTGCCCACTCTATTTTCCACATAGATACATCTGAGATGACAGTGTTACCATCTGCATGGATGCAGCCTAAAGCTGAGTGAGCAAATGGGTAATCCATCAAAAATTCTGTATAATAGCCCTCTCTCTGGTTAGCACCTGCAGTCACATTCAGGACCTCGGAATCTTGTCATCAAATGATATTTTTCTGTTGCTGTCAATTACAGAAACTGTTTCTTTCTGCTGCTTTATTATTTGACTTTATAAATTCTGGAAAGTTATATTATTATTATTATTATTATTATTATTATTATTATTATCTCATAAAAATGGTAGCAGTGTCATGCAATCAGCAGTCAATAAAATCAATAACGGAATTGGTCTTCAAGTCTCTGATCTGCAGTGCTACAAAAAATGAATTGAAACTTTTTGTAACTATTTAGAATTCAGTTCCTCTCTGGATCTTGTCCAAAAAGAGGCTATTCATTTACACAGTGTAATGTTTAAAGTCTTCAGGTCGCACCCCACTGGTATTCTATATACTGCTAAAATTGTGTTGGTTTTTTTAGAGTCTGTGTCTGTGAGCTTTCTTTTTTTTTTTTTTCAGTCTTAGGGGAAAATCATGAGTTTATGCAGGATACAATTTTACAGTCCTTCCCCTCCATGAATTTTTAACCCCATGCCCTGCAGAGAGAGGAGTTGCTCCCAAGAATGTTGATTTTTAAGTAAGGAGGGTTTTTTATTTGTGTAGTTTTGAATGGTGGGAACTTCGAAGAAGACGCTGCAAGACTCATTTTAGGGCATAAGCCATAGCCGTGTGACACTTTGCTAACTGACAGCTTCTGTTGTTGGGATGCCAGAGATGTGTGACCCTTTGCTTACTGACAACTTCTGTTGTTGGCAGGTGCACTGGGGTTGTTTTCATCCCTTCCACACAGAGAGACCCTGTCTGTGAACCACAAAACCAAACCCTGCTCCGTCCTGCACATCTCACAATCACGCCTGCGCCTGGCCCTACTGCTGGAGCCTCCGTGTCTGTTGGTCTTGTGGAGGGGCTTTCTCTTTTTCCCTGGCCTTCTGCTTTTCCAAGCGTGATGTTCTTTTCTGGCAACTGGCCCCTCCTGATAACATGTCTGAAGTTTGTGAGATGAGGTCTCATCACCCTCACTTCTCAGGAGCACTTTGGCGACAATTCTTCCAAAGCAGATTTGTCTTGTTCTTTTGCTTGTCCCTTTAATCCTATGTCATTGTGCCCTCATTTTACAGAGATTGAACCGTCCTCTCCTTCCAAAATAGTCTTCAGCACCATCACCTTTACTTGCTTCACATGCAGCTTTGAACCACTGCCAGCTCCCAGTCTTTTCCTGCACTATAGTAAGGCTGATTGTGTACACCGATTCCAACTTACCTACAAATTGGGCTGAAAGACCCACTTAGGGATGAATGTCATTTTATTCTGGGGACTACCCATACTTGAAAAGCTTCAGGTTGTCTCTACTAGGAACCTTCAGCTGGGTGTTTTCTTTTGTTTTGTTTTCTTGAGAAAATGTATACTGTATTTGGTATTAGCATGTTTGAAGGTATTCTTTTTTTAAAAAAAATTCCATTCATTGTTACACATTTTCCTCCTTGCCCCCCCTTCCTCCCCCAGTTCACTTTTTTCTTTGGACAAAAGTTTTTTCATAGTTCTAGAGTGTAATCCTCCCTATCCCCCACTCCCTGGACCACTTTACGATGCAACTCTTATTCTGGATTCTAGTCATGCCAATAATACCTAATCATATGTTCCTTTTATACAGTTCTCTTGTAGACACAGATTCCCAGTACAGACAAAGGCCAACTTCTCACTCAGTCAGAAAGCCTGGGTGTGCCACATTAGGTAGAGCTGGAAAATCTATGGTCATGGTTTTTGCCTGTTGGTAATGGTGCTGTGTAAGAGGAAAGTAAACTTTAATTCATTAATAATCCCACCTTCAACACTCAAACAACGCGCCGATGTGTATTTCCCATAGAACCTATCACAGCCCCATTTTTTTAATGTAGCCAGAATCCAAAAGCATTTTCTTGAAAAGATATTTACATTAAATTAAAATTCCTCAGAAGGAAACAGTTTGTGAGCATAACTCTTCGTGGCAATAATTCCCTGTGGGTTTTTTTCCAAGTGTTTGGCACTGATACCTGTATATCACAGACAAGAATGGTGATATGTGGCAAGAGGCTATGTTACAAATTATACCTAGTTCATGAATACAGACATTTCTACAATTATCCGGAATTGTGCATCTGCTTTAAAAGCTGGCACACGTCAGACAGTCTCTTCCAAACATCTAGTACCTTCGAAGACTGTAGAGACTGAAAATCTGGGAAAAGAAAAAGAGATTGCTGAGGTGAGGTGCACAAACGGCAGGATCCTATTTATTCTCTGCTGTGGTGGTGTTTTATTTTGTTTATTCTCTATTGTTTTTATCTCAAGGATGTTATAGGCTGCTCTTATATCCATAGTTTCATTTCAGTGAAACCTGTAAGTAAGTGGCTTTGTGTCAACGATATAGCCTGATTTTTTAGGCTGTCCCAATTGCTAAGATCCTAATAAGCTTAACATTAATTCAACTCACTATAATGAATAAGCAGGACACACACTTTTCACCCTCAGGGAATTCATGTACTTGAGTTAATTATAATAAACTGTGATGAAGTGTAAGGATAATAGAAGCGTAGGAAGCGAAGTATCTGTGCGGCCAGGGGCCTTAACCTAGGAGATCAGGGCAGCCCCACGTGATAACACTCTCCATGCTGCTGAGTCACTTCTGACTCCTTGGAGTTAGATTAGGTGTCCGAGGCTGTAAATCCCACTGGAGGAAACTGCCCAGCCTCTCCACTAGAGCTGCTGGTGGACTAAAACCTGAGCTGCGAACAGCCTCT